AGAGACCAAAATGAGAACTAAGTGTACACTTACCATGTGGATGGAGATTTATGAATTTGCAGTGTTGAGAAAATGACTCAAAACCTGTCAGGACAGTATCTGATTGGGCTGATCTTTCTAATTAACTTATTTTATTATTTGTATGTGTTTGAATGAGTGTTACTAGGGCTTGAACTCAGGGCCTGGGCACTGCACCTCAGCATTTTTGCTTAAGGCAAGCATTCTACCATTTGAGCCACAGCTCTACTTCTAGCTTTTTGCTGCTTAATTGGAGTCTCACTGACTTTCCTGCCTGGTCTGGATTTGAACCTTAATCCTCAGCTCTCAGACTCCGACTAGCTATGATTATAGGTGTGAGCCATCAGTTCCTGGTTAACTTCCTATTTTTCTTTTCTCTTTTGGTGTTGGTCTTGCAGCTTGACTTCAGGGCTTGGGCACTATTCCTGAGCTAGCTCAAGGCTAATACCATTGAACCACAGTTCTACTTCTGGCTTTTTTAATAGTTTATTGGACAAAAGAATCTCAGGAACTTTCCTGCTAGGCTGGCTTTGAACTGCAATCTTCAGATCTCAGCCTCCGGAGTAGTTAGGATTACAGGCATGAGCCAATGGTGCCCCAGAAAACTTCCTATTTTCTAAAGTTCTGAGAAGCCATGCAATGAAGGCTAACTTTCCCAAAATGTCACCTGGACAATATGTGGCCCCCTGATACAATGTGAGAAGGACACCTCTCCTAATCCTAAACCTGGACCTGGTATAGTCATGGCAAACACATCAGACAAATCCAGACTGGATATAATCTTCAAAGCACATTGCCAGGCCCCTTAGGATTGTAGGGTTATAAAAAGACAAGACAAAATGGAAAATTGGCTTAAACCAAAGGAGGCTAGGCAGGTATGACAACATGTAAAGCAGTATTCTGGATGGAATCCTAGACAGAAGAATGGAAAATGGGTCCATGAAATGATACATCCACCAAACTCATCAGAGCAACCAGGTCCCTGCAGGCCCCTAGTGTTGACCAGCTGAGAGAAGGCTTCTAGAAGCTAAACCCATCTTCCACTATGGCAATACTGCTAAAACATATAGGTTCTGTGTGGGTGGGGCGCATATCCCTGTAGTAGCATGATTGATTCTAACTAGCTGTTTCCAGAGCTTTCAAAGCTGAGCCTAAATTCAAACATTTGTTCTCTGCTGCTCTACCCAATTAGGTGAGAATCTTCCCACATTTTCATACCCACCATTTCTTTGAATCTTCCTCAGTGGATGTAGTGATAGCTGCAAGCCTAAGAATCTTTCCAGGTGTGGTTCCAGGATCCCTGTAGATCCCCAAATCTGTGGATGTTCACATTTCTTATATAAAAATGGTGTGGTACGAAAATCCTCCTGGCTACTTTACATCATGTCTCAATGAGTTATACTTCCTAATGCATTGTAAGTGCTCTGTAAGTAGTTCTTATGCTGTGTTGATTAGTAGAAATGTTCTAATTTCTCTGTAGAATTTTCTGGATTTTTTTTTCCTAAATAGTTTCTATTCTCAGATGGCAGAATCTACATGTATTGGGAGCTAATGTAGAACATGCCTCACATCCATATAAAAAGATCTGACATCAAAAGTAGGAAAATAAAACTTAGTCATAGAAACGAATACGCTCCCAAACGGTACCTTATTTCATGGACTCCTGTGGGTCTGGCTTTCTCAGGGCCTCTCATCTATAGCCATAAGCCCAAATAGCCCATATAGCCAGTCTTTCCCAGAACCCCTCATGGCTTATCGGTGCCATGAACTGGGTAGACCATGTGTAGGGTCCACTTGGGCCTCATCCCCAGCTAGGTAGGCCGGAACCAGTGCTGCATGCTATAGTCTAGAGACAGTGAGGTATAAGTGGGCTGATTCTGAGAACACTGCAGTGAGTTAGCAGACAAGTCTGGGAAACAGGGGAGGGAAGAAGGAACAAGTTGTGGGGAAATGCAAGGATTGCAGGATACTCCATGAAGCAATCAGGCAACCTGTCAGGAAAAGGGAAGGACTGAGTCATGGAGTTTAAAAAGTACCTCCACCTCAATCAAAACAAAAGAGGAGACTTCCTTAACATTTTGCCACATTATCTTTCTAGTGAAGTTTTAATGTTTGGGCCAGGTGCCTGTAATCCCTAGCTACCCAGGAGACTGAGAATCAGGATCTCGGTTTGAAGCCAGCCCTGGGCAGGAAAGTTTGTGGGACACTTATTTCCAATTAACCAACCAAAAGCTGAAGTGCTGCTGGTACAAAAGTGGTAGAGCACCAAACTTGAACAACAAAGCCAAGGGAGAGCATGAGGCCTTGGGCTCAAGCCCCAGTATTAGTACAAAAAAAGTTTTAATATCTGAAATATTCAGATTTCCTGTCTCTTCTCTTAAAGTTTCCTACTTTGCACAAGGCAGTTGTGTAAGATATATACTATCATCTCCTTCTATAAAAAATAGTTTTCCAGAATGCTTTCCAACTTCATGACCTCCACAGCCCTAACCTGGACCATGGCAGTCTCCCCTCCAGCCTGCCCCTTCCACTATCAGAGGGATCTGTTAAGATCCTGACCTTACTGAGTGGCTCCCTGTCTACTGATTGCTTTGGTGCCAGGTGACTAAGTCATTGTCATGACCCTCCACTTGCATTCCAAGGCCTTTCCCAATCACACTTGGGCTGGCTAACCTCAAGAGATCCTTCCCAGCAACAGTGGGGTAAACTGACTCCCTTTTCCAGAGCAGCATGGCCCTTGACTACTCTCTTCTTCTGGGAGGGGCTGTTACCCATGGTCAGTTTACAAGGCACCTGCTAGAATTCTCCCAGCATGCCCTTCCCAGGTGCCATGCTCCCTCACATTTGTGGACTCTTTGGAACACCAAACCGTTTTTTTTGGGTCCGGTCTTGGGCCTGAACTCTGGGCCTGGGCCCTGTCCCTCAGCTCTTCAGCTCAAGGCTAGTGCTCTACCACTTGAGCCACAGCGCCACTTCTGGCTTTTTTCTTTTTGCTTATGTGGTGCTGAGGACTCGAACCCAGGGCCTCATGCATGCAAGGCAAGCGCTCTACCACTGAGCCACCTTCCCAGCCCCACCAAACCTTTTTTTATAGTTATTTTTGGTGGTAATGTTGAGTTTTTAAAATGAAGTAGCTGGGGCTGGGAAGTTGGCTTGCTTCTCATGCATGAGGCCCTGGGTTCGATTCCTCAGCACCACATAAGCAGAAAAAAGCTGGACGTGGCACTGTGGCTCAAGTGGTAGGGAGCTAGCCTTGAGCTGAAGAGCTGAGGGACAGTGCCCAGGCCCAGGCCCAGAGTTCAGACCCCATGACTGAGAAAAAAGAAAAAAAAGTAGTTGTACAAAGAGGTTTTTCACTTCACAAGTTTTTGTTTTGTTTTATGTTGATACTAGGGCTTGAACTTGGCTTCACACTTTTGTATAGCTTTATTTGTTCAAGGCTGGAACTCACCCACTTGAGACACAGCTTCATTTTTGGTTTTTTGCTGGTTAATTGGAAATAAGAGCATCATGGCTGTCTTCAAACCACAATCCTCAAATCTCAGCCTCCTGAGTAGTTAGGATGATAACTATGAGCCACTGGCTTCTGGATATGTTCATTTTTTTTGTTGCGTTATATGAACCTATGAAAAGGCAGACATAACATGCCTATTGCCTGGTTTATTTTAGTTGCTCAGTGCATGTTGTATTGAAGATACAACATGAGGGTCCTGATTGAGCCCATATCACATGTTAGCAGAAATGACCACTTCCATGTGGTTCCTAATTAAGGGCATTGCTATCAACAGCACAGGAGCCTTGGGCTAAGGAAGACAGCTCCCTCCTAGGTGGAGCTGGGATGCCAACTGCTAGAAACCACAAGGCTTCTGTATTTCTGTGTTGGGAGCCATTAGGGAATCTTGCAGGGATCAAAATGGCCTTACAAGTGGAGGGGTTCATGCCTTGGAATTTCTCAGAATGTTCTGGGAACTAATGCTAGGAAGACTTCATGCTGAAGAAGGTAACAGATATATTCACCACAGGACTTTGTGGACATTTGATCTGCTCCAGAATGGGAGTTCCAAGAGTTGGACAGTCAACAGTGTTCCTCTAATATATATGACTAGGAAAGCATTGGACCAACTTTACAAAACACTGATGCTAATTGGTTGATTTATTTTAAATGACAAAGGTCCCAGAACTGAAAAACTGGCTATTATTCATCCATTTTGGTCACTCTCTGAATTATGCTGATTGACCATCAGGCAAGAATGCTTTATTCTAAGAAAGAACAGATGAACTGGATACTCATGGTTCACACCTGTAATCCTAGCTGCTCAGGAAGCTTGAGGTTCAAGGATTGTGGTTTGAAGCCTTCCCAGGCAAGAAAGTCTGTAAGACTCTTATTTCCAATTAACCACCCAAAAAGTCCAGAAGTGGAGGCATGGCTCAAGTGACAGAGTGCTAGCCTTGAGCAAAAACACTAAGAGACAGAGCCCAGGCCCTGAGTTCAAGCCCCAGTCTGGAATAAAAGAAAAAAAAAAGAAAGCAATAAAAAAACTTTAAGCAGTCAAAAACTTTTATTCAGAACATTAGCAAAACAAAGGTAATTGACTCCTAAATACAGGGCTTTAGAGTACTCAGAAAGGGACTAGAAAATCATTATAAAAATATTTCAGTAATAGATTAAAATACCAAGTAACCACAGTCATTGACTCTGAAGTGGAATTGTATATAATCACACTGAAATGGGAAGCTTAAAAAAAAATCTTCAGACTATTAGTCCAGGAAACCCACATCTCAGGCCTCAGAGAGTTCTGGGACAGCCCAGTTCAGGGTTAGGCCCTAATATAATGGAAGACACTGGACCTCTATCACTACCTGGGCCTTGATAAAGCAAAGCAAGCTATGAATTTTCAGACTAGGTACTACTGGGTTTCTCACTGGTTTAAAAGGATTGGAGCAAGTGCTGTTAATTCCAATAATAATAACAATAACAATAAAGGCTTTTAATGAAGGAGTGGCAGTAACATCTCAAGAAACTCACTGGGGCTGCACCTGGTTTTTCAACTTGGCAAGCCTCATGAGACAGTCATCCCTCCACTGTCTCCTGGCTGCTAAGTGTTCTGGGTCATCAGGAACTTTCAGACACATGTCCTAGGAGAAGGAAGAAATATGAGAGGAAATAATTGACCCAGTGTTTATACAAACCATGCCCACATTGCTTAAAGTTGTATGAAACACAGAAAGCTCTCAATATCACAGGCTTTCCAAATCTTGGAGATCTCAGACAAGTTGAAAAGAGCTACTGTTCATGGATTACATTGTTCTTAAAATCTCGATGCTAGGCACTGGTAGCTCATGCTTTTAATCCTAGCTATTCCGGAGGCTGAGATCTAAGGATTGGCATTGTAGTCAGCCTGGACAGAGAAGTCAGTGAGACTCTTATCTCCAATTAATCACCAACAAGCTGGAGGTGGAGCTGTGGCCCAACTGGAAGAGCACCAGCTTGGAAGGAAAAGGCTAAGAGACAGTGCTCATGACCAGAGTTCAAGCTCTAATACCAACATTAAATAAAAAAATCTCCTGGTGACCAGAATAAAACTATGAGCATCGTCAGTGAAAAAGGAGGAACTGTCAATAATATTCAAGGTCAATTTTATTTCTTTTCTTTTGTCCAAGACCAGTAATTGAACTCTGTATCTGATGCTTTTGCTCACTGGCTGGAGCTTTACTACCTGAGTCATACTTTAAAGTCTAAGATTCTAGTATATTCCATCTGCATGCAGGTGGTATATGGGAGAGAAGATGATTGGCATGTGACTAAATGCACACACAATCTACCCACCTGGTTAACTTTCTCCACTGTGGCCCTGGAAAATTCTGGAATGGGTCCAAAAGTCTTCAGGACACGTTTCATACCTTCACTGTATCTGTCACAGTAGCTCACCACACCTGAAATGGGTTGAACACAAGAATCTATCATATCAACAAAAATATTCTCTAACTCCAAATTAAGAGGCCCATTGGAAGGTTTTGCCCTGAGGATGAAGCGTCTACATTCTTCTTCGCCAGGGAATAAAGAAAAGACAGGAGATAAGTCACCAGCTGCTTTCTGGACAAGCTGGTCCCTCCCTAGTCACTCTCCACAATTTCTATGAGACCTTAAAACCTTGAGAGGTATTGGCCCTCAGGCCTGGCACACACTTCCTTGTATATGGTACATGCCAGCTACAGGTACTCTCAGCCTCTGCTGGCACTCACATGCTGACTGGGGAATGTCAGACTATAGCTTCATTTCTCAAAGCCCTTCTCTAACAATGGATTGCTAAGGTTACTTGTATTGAACATTTGAATGTTTTGTTTTTTGAAGCTGTACCAAGGATTTATGTTAGTATAACAGGATGAAGTAGGGAGAAATGCAGGAGAAAAGGAAAGAACAAACTTTTCTTTTGAGAAGGAAGTGGAAGATGGTGGAGGGTCAACAGGGAACCTACACAGCTGCTGCTGAGAACCAGAGCTTTAGAATTTTACCAAATAGTCCATGCCTAGACGGTTGCACGAAGTGAGCTGTAATTGTAGAGATTTTTGCCAGAGAGAAAAATTACAGACAGCTTGCTTAAGAAGACAGATTTGAGCACACACCAGTGACAGTGGCTGCAACCACAGTGGCGACCAGAGAAAGCCAGGGCAAAGACCTCCAGCATGAACTGGATGATAAGGAGCAGAAAATCACATCCTGCTGGTCACAGATGGACACAAATCATGGATGCATATTGCAGATGGTCCGAAACACCAAGGGAAACTGTGAGTACCCCACAAAAGCCATCCTCACTCCCACCCAGAGAATAACTTCTACAAATAAAGCCCCTTGACCTGAGAAGAACACCATCTTTGATACTGGCATAGAACCAGACAAAGCAGCTAGCAGAAAACATAGGCCTGAGAAGCAGTGACTGTGGCGCCATTTTTCAACAGGGCAAAGGAATCTGACCAGTGAGAGACAACTCTGCCCAGGGTAAGGTAGCCCCATCCAGGAGGAGAAAGCTCCTCCCAGGGAGGGGCACAACTACCTGGGCAGACACAGTAGAAGGCAGCCCTGCCCCTCTGCAGCAAACAAAGACATTCCAGTCATAGAGCGGCTCAACCTGCTGCTTAGCTGGATACAGGAATTAAAAAAAAACCCAAAAGTCTGCAAAATCTCAGTGAAAAAAAACAAACTGGATAGGGCATAAAAGCCAAGAGTGGTTCCAGGCTGGGCCAAAAGAATGTCTCAGGAGCCAGTCCCTCTGGGAAAAGACACTGATTCCAGACATGCCACAATCCCACCCAAACTCAAGCTCACTCTCAGAGACTCCAATCTACAGAAGCCAGCCAACCCCTTTCTTTGTGACACACAAAGCGAATCCCTGCTCCCACTAGGTTAGGCAGGGAGGAGGGACACAAAGACTACAAGTTTTCAAGGCAGAACATTTTCCTGCCCACTCAAACAAACTGATTTGAGGAGCCAACTAAGCCACAAGGAAAACTGACCACCACAAGGAAATTAATGGATACATTAAGAGGCTGGATAGCAGACATTAGGGAGACACAAGGGCCACCAAATAAATTGAAGACCTTTTTTTTTTTTCTAATTTTAATTTTAATCTTTTATTATCATTTTTATTTTTTTCTTTTCCTCCCTTTTTTCCTTCTTCACTGCTGTTTGGTACCCTTTGTCTTGTATGTAAGTTTATCTGATTCAGGGAAGGGAAGGGGAATCACAGAAAGGTGGGACAAAGGGGGAACCAATGCAACAGTGATATTCACTAGACATTATGTTGGAAATGAACTTTACAACTTGGGGGGAGGAGAGGAGTCATGGGGGAGGAAAAGTGGGAGAAAATGAAGGATAGGGGAACACTGTTCAAAAAGAAATGTACTGGGGCTGGGAAGGTGGTTCAGTGGTAGAGCGCTTGCCTTGCATGCCTGAGGCCCTGGGTTCGATTCCTCAGCACCACATAAGCAAAAAGAAAAAAGCCGGAAGTGGCGCTGTGGCTCAAGTGGTAGAGCGCTAGCCTTGAGCTGAAGAGCTGAGGGACAGAGTCCAGGCCCAGAGTTCAGGCCCCATGACAGGAACCACCCCCCCCCCAAAAAAAGAAATGTACTCATTACCTGACTTATATAACTGTAACCCCTCTGTATATAACCTTTAAAATGAAATAAAAATTTAAAATAAAAGCATCTTTTGTTTAGAGTGGAAGAGTGGGAAATCAGCTTCAGAATAATGGCTTTTTCATGGATTCTATACACTCTGAGCTGAGAAACACAAGTAGTCATGTACCTCCTTTCCCTCTTCTCCCCTTTCCTTCCCTTCTTTCTTTTGTGCCAATACAGGGGCTTGGACTCAGGATCTTATGTTCTCTCTTGCCTTTTTTGCTCAAAGTTGGCCCTCTACAACTCCCTACCCCCACCTCTTAAGAGTGGGGGATAAGAGTCTCATGGAAATTTCTGCCCACGCTGGCTTTGAACTGTTATCCTCAGAGCTCAGCCTCTTGAGTAGCTAGGATTATAGTCATGAACCATTAATGGTTGGCTAGTCATTCATTTTCTATGAACCAAAGATGCCAGACTCAAGTTAATTCCTCACTCAACTTCTGGTTACTTGGTTCTCAGATTACAGGATTTTGATGAGGAAATGAAGGAGTTTATTCTTCAGCAGGAGCCATTTGGATATTTTTAACAAAATCATCAGTACAGGCAGATGGATGTCTTTTTATGTACCAGATGACTTAATGGGATTTGTAGGGCTGACAGGGACAACTCCTGCTAGGGGAGACAGAAGAATAATCATAGTATAAACTGCTGTGGGGCCCTGTGTACTGAAGCTGAGATTACTTGAGACTCATACTTACAAGGGAAGAAAACACAAGCCCAGTCCAGCCATGGCCTGTCCCAGGCAGTGGAACAGCCCTACCCAGTTGCTCAGCTCCATCTCTTCTGACCTGGGGCTGTTAGAGCAAGCCTGTACTTAAGAGACCAGACAAGTTAGAAACTAGCCCTAAGATCCTGGAGGCTGAGCTGTCTCTAAGTCCTGACTGTTTCAATTTAGGCCCATTTCTTTCTTTGCCTTTTTTTTCTTGATGGGTGCTGGGGATAAAACTCAAAGCCTTGCTCAGGCTAAACATGAGTTCTATCTCTGAGTTACACCATCAGACATATTTCCAACTCTTTCAAAACCACAATACCTCAACAGTGGGTCATTTGTACCAAAAAGATAACAAGAACAAAATAAAGTTGCGGAATTTGCAGATACCCCTGACCCCCAACAGCTATGAACTTAGTTCTCAGACCATGAAAACGGTACCACTGACTTAAACTTAAAATGACTACTGTTACAGTAATCTTAAAAAAAAAAAAAAAAGGACAAACTTCTTTGGGGTTTAGTTTGTTTTGTGCTAGTGGGTTTGAATTCAGATGCTGTCTCTTAGTTTTTTTCGCTCAAGGCTGGTATACTATCACTTGAGCCACAGCTCCACTATGGCTTCTTGGTTTAATTGGAGTCATTATTCTCAGATATTAATCTCCTGAATATCTGGAATTATAGAAACAAGCCACTGACTGCTGGCTATAGATTTAGTTCTGAATGACCCATAATGGTGTATAAGACTAAGTTCACTGTGTTTCTATTTTATTTGTTTCAAATAATTTTCCTTCCCTCACAGTACACTAACATCTATGAAAGCAAACAATTGTTTTGAAGGATAAAATTCTCAAACCTACCAATTTTTTTGAGGCCTTCAACTAACCAGAGGACAATTTTTTTAAAAAAGAACTTTAACTTCATTTCACAAAAGTATTAACTTGATAATTTAGCCTTCTGGATGTTTCTATAAATGTTCCAGCAATGGCTAGAACCACTTCATATGGTTCCATTTCTAGAAGTTAAAAGACAACCTAAATATTTCCTTCCAGAAATAAAATTTCTGTTACTTTTTCTGTTACTTATTTATTCACACTAAGCTTAGCTTTTCAGGAGACTCTGAACTTATTATTCAATAGTTGTATGAAGGGGTTATGAATTTTGTAAGTCAGATTATGAGTACAATGCTTCTTGGTCAGTGTGACCCCTTTGTTCATACTCCTCCAATTTTCCCTTCGTATCCCTCCTCTGAAATTACATAGTTTTTTTTAAATTTTAGCATAAGATACATTGAATATAATGACATTTACTCACTCTTCCTTCCACCATTCCTCTGCCTACCCTTGATAAACAGTATATTAATTATTAAGAGGATTGGATTCCTCCCCTAAGAACACCATCCTTCAGTCGGTTTGTCTGTGTGTAAATACACTGAGCCCTATATGTTACCATGCATAGTTATATTTTAGCTTCCACATATGAAAGAAATGCATCATTTGTCTCACTGAGCCTTCACATAATTTATTCTAGGTCCACCCATTTCCCTGTGGATTTACTTTCTTACAAAATGCCTATGTGACAAAAAAGGAAAAATAATGGACTTTCATGAGATTAGGTTTAGCTTATGTTGTAACCTTAGGACTCTTTAACTATAAAGCCGAACCTACAGCAGGCACCAGACTCAACCAGACATGGCCCGCTGTACAAGCACCAGACTCAACCAGACATGGCCCGCTGTACAAGCTGGCCTCACTAGGGGTGTTTAGTTTCTTGGACACCCCTCAATGCTACCCACATTAGAACAGTCTGGTTTTCACTCAGCTGATCCCACCCATCTGATTGCACTTGCTTTTTTTTTTTTTTTGTCGGTTATGGGGCTTGAACTCTGGGTCTGTGCACTGTCCCTTAGCTCCTCAGTTCAAGGCTAGCGCTCTACCACTTGAGCCACAGCGCCACTTCTGGTTTTCTTGTGGTTAATTGTAGATAAGAGTCTCATACACTTTCCTGCCTGGGCTGGCTTTGAACCTTGATCCTCAGATCTCAGCCTCCTGAGTAACTAGGATTACAGGCATGAGCCACCAGCGCCTGGCTGACTGCACTTGCTTTAAGAGACAGAATTTCATAGGACTTATTAAAGTGGATCCAAAAGGTCTGAAAGCACAGAGTGACAATATCCAATGTCTCCTCCAAGGATCAAATTCTCAAACCTAAGTAAGGACTCAGGAAGGTAGAACCATGCTAAGCCCCTTCCCTCCTCAAGTCCTACTCGTTCAGTTCAACTTTTTTCAGAGGCAGATGAAATCCCATATAGATGAACCAAACCTACCAGGCAAGTCTTTAAAAAAAATGCCTACATAAGAGAGGAAATTTAGAAGGCAAAATTCACCTAGAGGGGAATCTGGGGGGTTGCGAGTTTCAGATAGTACCATTCCACAGAGAGAAGAAAACACAGAAGCAAGGCACCAGTAGCTCATGACTGTAATCCTAGCTACACAGGAGACTGAGATCTGAGGATCGCAGTTCAAGGCCAACCCTAGCAGGAAAGTCGTGAGACTTTTATCTGCAATAACCACCAAAAAGCTGGAAGTGGAGGTGTGGCTCAAGTAATAGAGTCCCACCCTTGAAAAAACTAAGGGACAGCATCCAGGCCGTGAGTTCAAGCCCAGTACTGGCATGCATATGCGCGCGCGCGCACACACACACACACACACACACACACACACACACACACACACACACACACACACACACACACACACACACACACACACACACACACACACACACACACACACACACACACACACACGCAAACACAAAAGACCAGGAGAGCTCAAACCAACCACCAGGGGCATGGTAGCACAGACCAGGCCCACAACAATGATCTAGCTAAGTGCTTCCATGTGGCTTCATGCTCACACCACTCTAGGAGGAGGCTACTGTTGTTATGCCTACTTAACTGAAGTGGGCAAAACCTCGGTACACTAACTTAAGAAACTGCCCCAGGGTCAGGCAGCCAGTAAGTGGGAAAGCCAGGGCAAGAGAACCAAGCTAAGGACCACTTCTCCACCAAGCCAGAACCACCATTGTGAGATTTTGTGCTCCTTGGAGGAGGATGCTTCAGCAACAACAACAACAACAACACAGAAAACAGGAACCAAAAAGTTGGAATAAGTACCTTGCCCTCCTGTTTTTCAGATCCTGCTTTATTAGTTCAAAACCAAATTGTAAAACATTTGCCCTGATTCTAGATAAATAGTAGCTTTTAAGACATACAGCTGAGATGCTTGGCTTTATGAAAACAGTATCTCAAAAAAAGAAAAATCCTCCCCTCACTGATCTTGATATATTCTGGGTGACACAGGGAAGGTTAAAGAATCTTTCCACTGGTTCCCAGCCAGATCTTATAGCTGTCTGCCTCAGGCGTGGAATGCTCTGAAGTGGAACACTGCATCCGTCCCCCTTATCATAGTAAGCCAATTAGGATTTCTTATCATTCCGGCTTTGTTTGAAAAATTGCTCCGGCCTCCTTCCTGTCTGCCACATTTGATTCTCAAGTTTCAGGTGTCCTTGGCTTCTATTTCTATTTGTTTGAGATTCAAAGCTCTTCTCAGTTCTCTCCCTATCTCTGTCTCATGATACTTCAACTACTTTATTTTTCTCTAGAAAAAAAACCATGTGGTGTTTTATAAGACACTGTCTACACATTTCAAATGCTTCAGTTTGTTTAGCATTTATAAGGTCTGGTGAAAAAAGCATATGATATTATCCTAGACCACGTGTGTGTGTGTGTGTGTGTGTGTGTGAGAGAGAGAGAGAGAGAGAGAGAGAGAGAGACAGAGACAGACAGAAAGAGAGAGAAAGAGAGAGAGAGAGAGCGCATACACATACACACCAGTACTGAGGGTTGAACTTAGGACCTGGGTGTTGTCCCTTAAGTTACTTTTGTCCAAGACTGGTGTATACCATTTGGGCCATGGCTCTACTTCTACCTTTTTGGTAGTTAATTAGAGATTCATGGGCTTTTCTTTCTGGGCTATTTTTTAAAATATTTTTTATTGTTCTGGGCTATTTTTGAACCATAATCTTCAGATCTCAGCCCAGGAATGAGAGCAGCTAGGTGTGAGACACTAGTGCCCGGCATAATAGTACTTTAAACTCTTGTTCCATAGCAGTGGCTGCAATTTCCTTCCTTCTGTCAGCTGCTTCCAGCAATGCTTGACTTTAGGGAAGATAAATCCCAGTTACTGGACTGTATTGCCCAGCATACAAGGGCCAGTTCACCCTCAGCATGGTGTGTACCCAGCAGTATCTGGGGAAATGGTCTTGATTTTTGAAAGTGTATTTCATTAACTACTGTGGGAGAAAAGGACTGAGTTATTACCAAAGCACTGTGGAAATACAGGCTTCAAGACAAACCAACTTCTTGAGGCCACTACTTCCCCTCACTCACAGTGTTACCTCCCAAGAAGCAACTCCAAGTACCACCACGCGGTGCCAAGTACTCACAGTGCCAGGCACTGTGTCCAAACCATCTGCCTGCCATTTCTAATCTTATTTCTGCTTCAACCCTCTTAAAAAATAAATTTATGACAACACAGAAAATCCAAAAGGTAGTAAAAGTTACTTATAGTTTAGGGGTATAGCTTGGTAGTAGAGGTATAGAGTGTATGTGTGTGTGTGTGTGTGTGTGTGTGTGTGTGTGTGTATATATATATATATATATATATATATATATAGTTATAGTTATATAGTAGAGGTAGTAGAGAAATAGAGTTCCAGGTCAGCCTGAGTGAGACCTTAATTTTTTGTTGTTGGTTTTTTTTTGGGGGGGGGGTGCCGTTTTTGGTTGGTCATAGGGCTTAAACTCTGGGCCTGGGCACTGTCCCTCAGTTCTTCAGCTCAAGGCAAGCACTCTACCACTTGAGCCACAACATCACTTCTGGTTTTCTGGTGATTAATTGGAGATAAGCATCTTATGGACTTTCTTGCCCAAGCTGGCTTTGAACCTTGATCCTCAGATTGCAGCCTCTTGATTAGCTAGGATTACAGGAGTAAGCCCCCAGCCCCCAGCTGGTTTGTTTTTATTTTTTAAAGACTTATTTTGATGTGAAGAAATGCCCATGATATTTAGGTGGCATCCTTCCAGATTCTAATACATAGCTCCTTTAAAATTTTTGTTTTAATTTGTATAGATGCTATTTTTTAAATTTTAGGACTTTAAATCTGTTCTTAAGTTCTTTTTCTTGCAGGTACCATGTCATAGATTTCAACTCGCCTACCCTTCTGAAGATTTAGGGTACATGTGTAGTCTCCCTGACCCTGCTTTGCCATATATGCCGTACCAGCCCAGTCCTGTGAAAGCAGCTCCTGAGAACTCCCTGGCCTTCCAGATGGCAACCTACAACTCCGAATAATACACCTACAGGCTGCAATTGTGTAGATAGAAGATACCACCAGCAGAGAAAGGTTCCCGGGGTGGTGGTAGCAGGGGTTGTGGTGGTGAAGTTTTCCCTCATATCTTTTTATCCTTCTTGGCTCTGTAAACAATCCCATTGCCTTCTCCAGAAAAATATTACTTTCTTTTCCATTAGCTGAAGGTTGCAGAGTCCCCATTATATCATGTCTCTCTAGAACATTCACTCCTCAGAGCCCTGCAGTTTAAGATTTCCATGTGGACTCAGTGCTCTGTGTCCTAGCCCCTATCTGTGATATCAGGCTGGCTACAGTTCTTCCTTCCTTCCTTCCTTCCTTCCTTCCTTCCTTCCTTCCTTCCTTCCTTCCTTCCTTCCTTCCTTCCTTCCTTCCTTCCTTCCTTCCTCCCTTCCTTCCTCCCTTCCTTCCTTCCTCCCTCCCTCCCTTCCCTCCTTCCTCCCTTCCTTCCTCCCTCCCTCCCTTCTTTCCTTCCTTCTTTTTTGTGCTAGTACTGGGCTTGAACTCAGGGCCTCTCATTCTTGCTTGGCATTTTCACTCAAGGCTGATGCTCTACCACTTGAACCATACCTCCACTTCCAGCTCTTTGCTGGTTAACTGAAGATAAGAGTTTCATTGGCTTTTCTATCCAGGCTAGTTTTGAACTGGGATCCTCAGGTCTTAGTTTCATGAGTAGTTAGGATTACAGGTATGAGCCACAAGTGCTTAGTCTATAGCACTATTTCTACTCAGCTTAAGAAGGCAAAATTTGACTGTTCCTAAGACCCATGGAAATACTCAACAACACAACCCAGCCCTAGGCATACCTTCGGCGTTCAGGTGCATCGTTTCCAAGGGTCCAATGAATGCATACCGCATGCCCAGCCCATCTGACATAACCAGGTCCACGTCACTAGGAGACACTATTCCTTCCTGTACAGGGAGAAGGGGGTAGTACACTGATGAGTGAATTTTCTAGAAAGGTAATTTCATTATCATCACTTCTAGCCTAACTTTTTTTTTTCTGCCAGTCTTGGGGCTTGAACTCAGGGCCTGGGCACTGTCCCTGAGCTTCTTTTGCTCAAGGATAGCACTCTACCACTTGAACCACAGCACTACTTCTGGCCTTCTCCCCCCTTTCCCACCCTCCCCCCTCTGCCCCCCGCCCCATGGGGCCTGAACTCTGGACCTGGGTACTGTCTCTGAGCTCTTCAGCTGAAGGCTAGTGCTCTACCACTAGAGCCACAGCACCACATAGGCTTTTTCTGCCTATGTGGTGTGGAGGAAGCGAACCCAGGGCCTCATGCATGCAAGGCAAGCACTCTACCACTGAGCCACCTTCCCAGCCCCTACTTCTGGCCTTTTTTGTTTATGTGGTTCTGAGGAATTGAACCCAGGGAGGTTTCATGCATGCTAGGCAAGCATCTACCACTAAGCTACATTCCCAGCCCCATCCTAACTTTTTTTTGTGTGCCAGTACTGGGGCATGAACTCAGAATATGAGTGTCGTCCCTTACCTTTATCACTCAAGGCTAGTGCTCTACTATTAGACCATACTTTCTCTTGACTTTTTTTTTTTGTCTTGGTCTGGTTAATTGGAGATAAGAATCTCACAAACTTCCTTGCCCCTAGTCTGGCTTGGAACTGTGCTCCTCAAATCTCAGCCTCCTAAGTAGCTAGGCTTATAGATGTGGGCCATTGATACTTAGCCATCCTAACTTCATTAGGAAAATATTCCCAAATACCCTCCAGTGCTCTATGACAGTATTGCCATCAAATCCTGGACAAAAATAATCCTATGTACATGGATTCTGAAAGGAGACTATTTTATGACCAAACAACCATTAACCTTTTCCATACTTGAATCAACATGTTCCCCTTGTCCGCTTCCTCATTCCTATCCCTACAACCTAAGGGAGCACTTAGAAGTCGCAGTATCAGAGGAAAAGGGCAAGAAGAATCTTTTAGATGTTTGCTTAGGACGTGGGGAGTCAGCCTGAGCCATCCAAAGAGCTGCAAGATGCTCCCAGGCTTCATCTGCCTACAAGTCTGGCTTTGTCCTGCTGCTGATGATTTGTAAGAAGAGCTGGTCTTTGATGAAATGCAGCTTGGAACCAAGGGTATGTTTGTCAAGGTGGGGCCCTAGAATCTTCTGTAAATGAAAATTGCAAAGCAAGAGGTGAGTTGTTATGTGCTTAGCTTAGACGTCGAGAGGCCAGCTGTGTTTCTTGGCTTGTTCCTGATCCAGCAGCTGTCTTGTGTGGCTTTGGGCACCGGGCTTGGGTACATAATTAAACCTCAGCATGATTTGGAAACTCACTGCCAGGTCATTCCCACCTGAGGTTCTTACTGTCTTGGACATTCAGCTGTCAGGAAGGAAGATGTGAGCAAAATCAATGTAATCCCCCCAAAACCTTTGTTGATTTAGATTGGCAGCGTTCCTGTGTGATCTGTGGCGTTGGCTCTTTTTCTGAGAGTGGTTTCTTTGTTTTGTTTTGTTTTTGTTCTAGTACTGAAGCTTGAACTCTGGGTTGGTGCGCAATCCCTTAGCTTTTTCTACTCTAGGCTAGTGCTATACCACTTGGGTCACAGGTCTACTTCCAGCTTGGAAGATAAGGGTCTCCCAGACTTATGTGCCCCAGATAGCTTCAAACCATGATCCTCAGATCTCAGTTTTTTGAATAGCTAGGATTACAGGCCTGGTTTAAGATTGGTTTCTTTCAGAAAGCATTGTGAGATCTGCTGTCTGATGTGGCTTAGTGGTAGAGTGTTTGCCTAGCATGCATGAAGCCCTGGGTTTGATTCCTCAGTACCACATAAGCAGAAAAAGCTGGAAGGGATGCTGTGGCTCAAGTGGTAGATCAATAGCCTTAAGCACAGAGAAGCTTAGGGACAGTGCCCAACCCTGAGTTCAAGCCCCAGGACCAGAAAACAAATGAAAAACAATGCTACCTCTCCACTGGTAGCCTTGCTGTACCCTGAGAGCCTTCAATGAGGGGTCAGTTCTGATACTCCAGGAGTATATTTACACATCCTGAGCTGGCTCCCAGCAACCACTAGACATATCTCCTTCCCTTTGGGTGCAAGGCTTTTCTCTGAAAGGGCCATCTGGTATCTACCTAAGAAGAAAGCTCTCAATCACCCTAAAAGAGGGCTCTGATATATGTCATCATGGGCCACAGGAAGATATCTTCTGCCCTCCATGCAGCCAGGGATTGCTGGCTCAAGGCTGGTGCACCTCCCATCCCTACACCTACTCGTACTTCAAAGGCAACCAGAGACCCCCCCACCCCCCACAGGAGGTCACTGTCACTACATCCTCACTGCTGAGGGAGACACAAAAATGTGTCAGGTCTGCCTGGGTATCTGGACCACTCCAGGTCATCTAGAGAGCTTCATGATAAGACAGGTTAAAGAGGATGGAACCAATGGAGTCAAGCCTGCCACCTGAAAAGGAAAAGTGTGGCCCAAACACTATTGATCAACTCTATGCCTATGAATGATGTTCCATCAAACTGGGTATATGCATATGCATGCTTGATAGAAACACACAAAAATCTGCAAAAGTTACAGAGCACCTGTTCCTGTCTTATTTGTCATTGGACCAACTTCCTGGAGACAGATACCTCACTTCTATGGCAACTACCTCTTTGCTATAAAAACTGATCATGTATATTTAGTTTGCTTTATGTCCATTTATAGTCTGGTAATGGGACCTACATGAGATGTCTTCTTATGTGATTTGCTTCTGTTTCTCAATATTATGCACTAAGATATATACAGGGCTAGGTGCTGGTGGCTCATTCTGTAATCCTAGCTACTCAGGAGGAGAGATCTGAGGACTATGGTTGGAAGCCTGCTTGGGCAGGAAGGTCTATGAGACTCTTATCTTCAGTTAGCCATCATAAAGCCAGAAGTGGAGCTATGGCTCAAGAGGTAGAATACTAGCCTTGAGCAAAAAAGCTAAGGGACAGCCCTGAGTTCAAGCACAAGTACTGGTATACACATACACAAAAAGAAATATACAGGGCTGAGGGTGTGGTTCAGTGGCAGAATACTTACCTAGCATCACGTGCAAGGTCCATACCAGCACCTCAATCAATCAATCAGTCAGTCAGTCAGTCAGAATCCACTATGCTGTGTGTAGCTGTAGTTTGTGTAAAAGTCAGAGTTGACTTATCTATCCTACTACTCATGGGGTATTTGGCTTGGTTCTGGAATGCACCTCTTGTATACAGGATGACAAAGAACATTCTGAAACAAAGCTCTGGCCTATGTCCAAGTTTGAACTGCTAGGAATTACAGCAAGCCACCCTGCACCTTCCACTTTATGAGCCAATGCTACCCTGCTCTCTGAAGCATTGCATCAAGTTTACTGCCCCCAACCATACATGAGGAGAAGTTCCCATCACTCCATATCTTTCGAATACTGGGTATTTCTCAGTGGTGGCTCACATCTGTAATTTTAGCCACTCAGGAAGGCTGCCATATGAACATCCCAGTTTGAAGCTAGCCTGGGCAGAAAATGCCATGAGATTCTTATCTCCCATTAACCACCAGAAAGCCAGAAGTGGAGCTGTAGACCAAGTAGCATAATGGCTGGCTTGAGTGAAAAAGCCAAGGAAAAGGCCCCAAGTTCAAGTCCCAGTACTAGACCCCAAACAAAAAGACACTGCATGCCATCATTCCCATAAAATTCACTGACCTGGTAAGGTACAAGGGAATTTCACTAGGTTTCCTAGTCATTCTAAAGCATCTACTCTGTTCAGTCAGCCTGTTAAGACGTGCAAATAACTCATTATGTTTACTCAAATGCTGACAGGTGTCATTTCCTTCCATTACTTATAACAAAAGTGTAAGCTGGGTGCCAGTGGCTTACCCCTGTAATCCAAGCTACTCAGAAAGCTGAGGTCTGAGGATTGTGATTTCAAATCAACCCAGTCAAGAAAGGCAGTTACATGCTTATCTCAATTAACCACCCAAAATCCAGAAATGAAGCTGTGGCTCCAATGGTAGAGCACCAGCCTTGAGTGAAAAGCTAAGAGACAGTTCCCAGAGCCTGAGTTCAAGCCTCCCAGCATTAAACAAAACAAAAAGCTGTAAAGATAGAGAGGTATTCAAGGAAGAAAAACATCCATAGAAGAACCCAGAATCATCTAGAAATCCATCTGACATGGAACTGCCATTTCCATCTGCCTCCCCCTACCTGACAAGTGTTTGGGACAGGAAAAGCAGCTTTGGCACTCTCTCCAGGCTGCCTGTTGGTCAGGGCTACAGGTTCCTGCACCCTGGGGCTTCTGAATGCTGTGAAGGACAACCAGGCAGACCTGAAGGATATCCCTTCAGCCCCAGGTTCTGGGTTAACATTCCACAAAGCCTGATTTTTTTTTTCATTTTAGTCTTCAAACTGTGAAGGATGCAAATATGGAAAGCACCCCACAGTTACAATGCTGTTTAGCTTGTCTCTTGTCTTCCACAATTGGATTTAGTATTTTCAGAGCTGATGTTAAAGAGATTTCAAAATACACTAAAGGTGAGCTACCCAGAGTAGTTCAGATTTGTTTTGTTTTGTCTTGCTGGGAATGGAATCCAGGCCTTCAAATGATAAGCAAGCACTACCCACACCTCTACCCCCAAGAGAAGCTCAGGGTTTTTTGTTTTTGTTTTTGTGCTTGTATTAGTGCTTAAACTCATGGCTTGAATGTTGTTCCTTAGCTTTTTTGCTCAAAGCTACTGCATTACCACTTGAGCCACAGATCTAGTTCCAGCTTTGGTGATTAATTGGAGATAAGAGTCTCATAGATTTCCTGCCCAGGCTGGCCGTGAACTGTGATCTTCAGATCTCAGCCTCCTAAGTAGCTGGGATTATTGGTATGAACCACTGGCATTAGGCTGAGAAGCTGAATTTTGATTCACATCATCTAAGCTAACTT